TGAGGGTGAAGGGGCCTGAGGGGAGAGCGGGCCAGCCGGGCTGGGGACGGAGGCGGGCAGGTGGCCCCCAGCAGATTTTCAGTCCTTCTGCCCCTCACCTCTTCAGGGCGGCCAGATCCTCAGGGTCTCCACCGCCCTGAGCTGTCTCCTCGGCCTCCCCCTGAGGGTGCAGAGGATCCGCGCGGGCCGCAGCACCCCGGGCCTGAGGTGAGCGCAGCGGTGGGGTAAGAGGGCACGGGCGGGCCTGCAGACGGTGTGGTCTGGGCGCGAGGAGAGCATTTAGAATGAGGCCCTGCTTTTCTCTGGGTGGCCCCGGTTGTTTCATTGGCTAAAACGCGCTTTTCCCTTCCAACAAAAGAAAATGCTCTCTGCCTCTGGGGGCATGCCAGGTGCATCGCTGTGGATAAGGTCGGGAAGGGCAGAACTGCCGCTAAGGCAGAGGAAGCTCCACTTTTAAGCCATGCCATCTGTGTTGCTGCACACCTTCAAATCCTAGAACAGAGGGGATGCTAACAGCCATTGCTCTGGCTTTTCATCACATCTCTAGGAGGGTGTGAGTACGTCCAGGATTTTGTGTGTGTCAAGTAGCTAGCTAGCCCCTTGGCTGTAGTCCGGAAAGCTGGGCATGCTACTTGGTAAGTTTCATTAGAACCTTTTGTAAAAGAGCTTAGGTTGAGGCCAAAGTGATTTCGTGTTTCTTCCTCTATTTTTATAGTATCTTTTCTTTCTTTTTTTTTTTTTTTGTTTAATACAGGGTCTCACTACACAGATCAGACTCAGTGATTCTCCTGTTTTCAGCCTCCCAAGTGCAGGGATTACAGGCGCGTGCCACCAGGCCCAGTCTCATTGGCCGGCTCAGCCTGCCCCTCAGGCAAGGCCAGCACTTTTTATGGAAGGTTTCACCAATTTGCCTGTCATCCTTGAGCAGGGGCCACACTAATCTCTGAGTCCTTCCAATTTTTGTATATGTGCTGCAGAGGCAAGCACCAAAGTGATTTCATATATTGTATTATTATGTAGGCCGTCTGTTAGTCTTTTGTTCGTAGTTTAAAATTGTTAAAAAGCAATTTAGGGGCCAGGGAGATAGTTCAGTAGAATAAGCACTTGCCTGGCAAGCACAAGGGCCTGAATTCAATCTCCGGTTCCACAAAACAAAACAAAAAACCCCAACTTATTAGTATGTGAGACCCTTAATTCACTTTGAGCGGTTGATGGCAGCAACTCCAGTACACCAGTGGAGAAATCCAACTCGTTAAAGCTGTGGTAGGTATTTACTGGTTTGCTAGCGTTGCTATAATAGAATAGCACAGATTGGATGGGTTAAACAACAGAAATCTTTTTTTCACAGTTGTAGAAAGAGTCCAAAGTCAGGGTGGCAGCACAGGTTTCCTTTGAGAGCCACAGGGCAGTATGTGTCCCATGTTTTATAGCCCAAGTGACGTCTCAAAGGATCTCTTTGAAAGATGCCTACGAGTAGTGTCCCAGCCTTTTCCTTTGCCTTTTCCTTTTCCTTGGAGTGTCCCAGGCCTTTTCCTTTTCCTTGGAGATGATCTCCCTCCTGCTGTCTGTTAACAAGGTGGTTTCTCTGAACCCTAGCTCTGGATTTTGTCCCTGGAGGTCCTTATCTCTTTTTACAAGGGTGCCAGCAAAGTTGTGTGGAGGCCTGCATTAATGGCTTCCTTTTAACTTAATTACATCTGTTCTGAATGTGACTGTAGTGTAATGCACTGGGAATTTTTCCAGTGCATTGTTAAAAGTCTAGTGGCTCTTCTATGGATTCTCTTGTATGATTATAATTTGCAGAAGTACATCAGTACATGTTTTATAGCCCAAGTGACATCTCAGAGATGCCTACAAGTAGCCTAGGTGTGTAAAAACCCAGAAGGAAGCTGGTGCTGGAGACGTGGCGCCTACTACGGTTAGACCTTGCTGCTTGCTTGCCATTGCAGTTGTGTAAATATATCAAAGTGTGGGGATGTAGGCAGTCTGAATGCACACGTTTTGATGCAGTATTATGACCTGAAGGCCTCAACATTTATCTGGACTGGAAATGATTCGTGATTTGTGTGATGGGCAACTGGAGGGGGCAGAAATTGGCTCAACAGAAATAAGCTTTACGCCAGAGAAGATCAGAGGTGGAATCCACACTGCAGATACCAAGACAGCAGGGTATGTGTCATTTATAAGCTATTAAACTATGGGTTTTTTATTGTTTTTTTTTTAAATTAGAGTATGGGTTTTGAAGTTAGATTCAACTCTAGTTTCTAGAGGAAAGTTGCTTGAACTTTTTATGGTTTAGTGTCCTGAATTTTAAAAATGTAGTAGAATAGTTTTGAAGGTTAAAGACAATGAATATGAAAGTTTTACTGCCTAATAGCTCAATGATAACTATTACTGTCTATGGCACTTTTTCATGTATGTAGTATAGGCCACTCCCTCTGACCCATTCTCCCTCTGTGGTGCAGGGGATTGAACACGGAGCCTTGTGCTTCCTTGTTGAGTGCTTTTCCAATAAACTACATCTCCAGCCCATGTATTGTCAAAGAGTCTCCCTAAATTGCCTATGCTGGCTCTTCATTCTTCCTGTCTAAGCCTTTCAGGTGGGTAGCTAGAGTAACAGGAGTGTACCACCATGCCCAGCTTGAGCCTGTCGTTCATTCGTTCATTTGTTCATTTAGACAGGGTCTTGCCAAGTCTCTAAATTTGCAGCACTGGTCTCAAACTTTGAATCTTCTTGCCTTTAAAGTGCTGGAATCATGGGTATGTGCCTCTGTACCCAGCATTTGCTATTTTTAGAATCTGATTTTATTGGTAGGAAAATAAATACTTTAGCTGGGCATGATGGTGCATGCCTGTAATCCCAGCACTCAGGAGGCTGAGGTTGAAGGATCTTCTCAAGTTGGAGGCCAACTTGGGCTCATAATGAGTTCAAAGCCAACCAAAACTACATTGTGTGAACCTGTTTTTTAAAAAAAGAAAGAAGAAATACTTTATATTTTGGCTTACTCAGAATAACCAAGTAATTCAGTTGTAATTGTAAAGCTCTGGCTTACAGTAAGATCAGCATTTCAAAGTCCGTTTCATTTGCTCCTTGGTCCAATTCTTTGAGAAGAAGGATTATATTATGTACGTTTTTCTCTTCTAATACCAAACACATCTTAATAAATATTTATTGAAAAAATGAAGTGTTTTATCAGTAATAAGTACTTAGTATATGTATTTTTGTCAAAAGGAAGTTAAGATCTGTGGTTTAGCATATGGGACCTAATTAAATTCCTTTAGGGTCTTGCCCTTGGCGGGCAGGGGCTTATGCCACTGACCTATCGCCCATGCTATTTCATTTTATAAAATACTTCATGTTCTATGATTATTTCTTGTGATTTCTCATACTTTTGACTGTTCCATGTGAAAAATATAACTTTCTGACTTTGTAAAACATTATTCTACCATGAACTTCATGGTATGTCAGTATCTTTACTCACAATACTTTGTGCATGGTAGCAACTCAGAAGCAGTTAAATATTTCTAGATTGTGACTGCTTTAAATACAGTACTCAGCAACTGCTACTTTCAAGAATCTATAAAAGCATTTGAAGAATGCTTTAATTTTTTGTTTTTACTTTTTTTGTAATATAAAGAAAAGCATCAGAAGTTAGCCAGTGCTCACGTAGTGTGTTTAGTCTTGACGTCACACCTAGATTTTTTTTTTAACCCCTTTTTCTTTGTTTTGGTTCATGCACATGTGTGTGTGTTAGGCACCAAATTAGGTCCTTCAGCATAATAGCCAAATGTTCTATCACTGAGTATCATACTTCTGGTCTGGTTGGGTTATCAGAAATAGTTTTACTCTGAAATATTTTCTTACACGATTCAGAATTTTACCACTCAGACACTGAAGCAAAATAAATAGTACAGAATTTTTTTTTTTTTTTAGATTCTTGAAGAGACAGTGCAGTTAAGCCTGTTCTGCCTTCTCCTTAGGAGTGTGTGCCTCTTGATGCAGGTTTCAATGCCCTGTGTTCTCTTTGCTGCTGCTCCATCGGAACTTCGTTTGAAAGGTGGGACGAATGCTGAAATGGCGCCACAGATAGACTACACGGTGATGGTAAGGGCTTTTGTGATCGAGAGCCTAGGATAAACTCATGAAGTTATATGTCAGTTATTATATGTGTTTTATAAATACAAGTATTTAGAAGGAAACTTAAAATTTTTTAAATTTTAATATATACTTGGGGTTTTTGTTATTTTTGTTTTGGTTTTTTTTTTGAAACAGGATCTCTCTATGTAGTCCAGGCTGGCTTCAAACTTGTGATCCTCCTGTCTTAGTCTCCCATCTCTTGAGTGCTGGGATAATAGTGGTACACCACCATGCCTGGCTCTTCAGGTTTTTATTTGTTTTTTATTTTTTTTTCAGGTTTTTATTTTTAAAATTTAAAAAATTCAATACTGGAATGCTCAAACAAACAGGGGTGGAGCATTCCTAACCTAAAAAATCTATAACATACAGTAAAATGCTTCCACATCTCAAAATTCATGAACAGCGTCATGGTGGCACAAGGAGAAAATCCCCCCATATCATGTGATGGCTTGCAATCACAGTTCAACATGTATGTTAAATACTGTATGAAACTGCCTTAAGGTCATGTGTACAAGGTGTCTATGAAATATAAAGGAATTTTGTGTTTAGACTTGGATCCTATCCCTAAGATACCTGATTGTGTAAATGCAAATATGAAAATTTGAAAAAGTCTTCTGGTCCTGAACATTTTTAGAATTTCACATAAGGAATCCTAGACTGTGTTATCCTTTTCTCTTCAAGGTTTATTGTGATTTTTTTTTTTTCCTTGTGATGCTGTGCTGAGAATCAAACTCAGAGCCCTCTGCCTGCTGAACAAGTACTGAGTTTCACCCCAGCCTCTATGGCATAATTCCTTACAATTAATTTTCCCTTTTTAATGTACTATAGTTTCTTGATTTTTGGACAAATATATACATCTATGGACCAGCAGCCAGTATTAAGATGTGGCCTCTGGGCATGGTGGCACATGCCTGTAATCCCTGCGCTGGGGAGGCTGAAAACAGGAGGATCATTACAAGTCCGAGCTGCATAGTGAGACTCTGTGCCAAATATGTTTTTAAAAAATGAGGAGTAGTTTTGTTACTCTAAAGTATTTGCTCAGACCTTTTGTACTTAATCCTGTCCTCTAGTCCACTGATCTGTTCACTGTCATACTATAATTGTCTTTATTACTAATTTTTTTAGAATGTCATTTAAAGGAATATTACTATATTTAGCATTTGAATCTTGTTTTTATACTTAACCACAATAAATTTGATTCATACTGTTACTTGTATCTGCTGTATTTTATGAATGTACCAGTTTATCCATTCATTTGTTGAAGAGGTTTGAGTTGCTTTTGGGTTTTGGCAATTATTAATGAAATCCGTGCTATCATTTTTTGTTTCCCTTACTACTGTTTATGTGCAGGGTTTTTTTTTTTTATGTGCAGGTTTTTGTTTGAACATAAATTTTCATTTATTTTGGGCAAATATGAGTGAGGTTTCTGGGTTGTTATAATGTGTGGATGCCTAATGTATGAAAAACTGGTATCCATACATGATTTGTATTTTCATCTGCATCTCATGACAGTTCCAGATGTTCTACACCCTACCTAGCACTGGATATCCTCTGGGCTTTTTTTTTTTTTTTTTTTTGAAACAGTGTCTTTCTGTGTAGTCCAGGCTGGCCTTAAACTCCTGATTATCCTGCCTTACTCTCAGTGCACTACTATGCCCAACTCCTAGGTTTTTTTATTTTTAGTTGTTTTTTTCTGTTTTTACTTTCCCTGATGTTCGTGTATGCTAGGCAAGTGCTCTGACACTGAGCTGTGCTACTTTTTTTTTTTTTTTACACAAAAGTTCAGTAATCTGTATACTTATTGCATACAAGAGAGAACTTAGATCTTGTACAGCAATTAACCACTAAGAAGAATATATGCAGTGTATTATTCGTTGAAACTATACTTTCGATTTGATTTGAAACTGTCTCATTGCTATATGTTTATCAATAAAACTTTGAAAAGAAAAAAAAAAGAGAGAGAACTTAAAGAATGAGTAAATCTCTAATAGATCTCAAGAGTTGCCTTAGATTGCTATTGTAATTTATAGTACAGTCTTTTTTATAGTCAGTGTGATAAAATGTATAGTGAAAGTTATTCCTTCTTTACCTATCAGTCCAACTTCAAAGAAACTACCCTAATTAAATATTACAAAATGAAGCAAAGAGTTAATGTTCTAAAATGTATTTGAGCAGAACGTTAATAAATTATAATTACCATTATACGATATGTATTAGAATGTTATATACGTTACAATTACCATTATACAGTATGTATTATTATTTAACTTGGAGAAAGGTCAAATTATGCCTTGTCATGTAATCATTGGAGTATTTAGAATTTTATGTTAGAAAGCTGCTTGGGTTTATAATACTAGATACAAAAAAACAAGGATAATATGTATAGTGAGATATCAACTGTTTCTAAAAACTGAGAAAACAAAATACAATGCTGTTCATGAATACCTCCTAATTTCTTCTCACGTATAGTATATTGAGAAGGCTCAGAAAATATTGGCCTCAGGCATCAAAAAACCACTGGAATCAAGTATCCTGAGCTCTTGGGTTTTTTTTTTTTTAGATTGAATTGAATAGCCATAATTAACTAAAGGTTAAACTTGTAAATTTAGTCACATACTAGTTGTTTTCATTTGAGAAATAGATCTAGCTTACATATCCTTGATGACTTGCTTAACTGAAGTACCTTAGCACAGAGCACTTTTCATTTAATAACTGTATTTGTTTAGTGACTATTGATGGCTAAAGTAACAACTGATTTTTCAGGTCTTCAAGCCAATTGTTGAAAAATTTGGTTTCAATTTTAAATGTGACATTAAAATGAGGTGAGTTATTTCTTGTCCTTTTTATCCATTACTTGAACTTTCAAAAGTAATGGAGAAGTTTGTCTTTAGAGAACTATCATTCTTACATACTTAATATAGTGCACTTTACATTTTTTGTAGGAAGTAATTGTGTTTTGTTGCTAAAGAACAATAAGCTGTGGGGATGTAAAGGCTTAAAATCAGCTACATGTGATACTCATTTCTTTTTTTTTTTATGGGTCTGGATTATGATAAAGGATACTCATTTCTTGGGAGAAATATTTCCAAGGAAATTTCGTCATGGAGGCACCTTCACATCTAGTGTTGTTGTTTTACCCTGCACACATCAAATCATCTTTTGTGTGTAGACACTGAACTGTGCCCTGTGGGGGTGTAAGGGTTCTCTTCCACAGTGTGATCTGAGTTATTTTCCTAAGAAAACATCATTCAGGTTATTTCTCTTTAAGGGCTCCCTTCTCTTACACACTGACAGGGTTAAATTTCTTGGCATGACATTTCTGTGCTCTGCAGTGTTGCCCTAGTTTATCTTTCTAACTCCTTTCAGCCCCTCATTTCAGTTTGTTGTACATTCTAACTATGTAGTTGCTAACTACTCTTTACATGTACTTTGTGCCTTGTATTTCACCTTTTTGAACATTTCGTTCTTCCCTCCTCGCCTCAATATTGGTGAAAATTACAGTTTCTTCTGTGAACTGCCCATGGATGTGCTGCCTTAACTGGAATTTATATTTGTACTTTTATTGTTCCCCGTCACCGCCTGACTTATCTTCTGGTAGATTGTGGAACCATCTTCCTGCTAGATAGAGAACACCTGCAGGGTAGAAGCACTGTCATTTTAGTATCTGTAATAGGAAAAATGACACTAAGCATGTGAATTAAAATTTTATTAGTGTTCAGTTGCTTTAATGTTTACCAGATTGAACTATCATTGCCAGACCTTGTCTTAGGCCCTAGAAAATAGCAGAAAGAAAACAGTTCCAGGTGAAGGAGCTTAAACATACTCTAAAACCCCACTATTAAGTAGAACTTTCTGTACTGAGAAAAATGGCTTTTCTTTCTGCTATCCAGTAGAATAGTCATTAGCCAAATGTGACTGTTGAGCACTTGAAATATGGCTACTATAACAAGTGAATTGGTTTCGAAATTTATAAAATAGGGATTTTTATTTAGTTCCGAGGAGGCAGTCTTGCTGTGTGTTTTAGGTTGGCCTTCAGCTTCTGGGTTCAAGGGATTCTCTTGCCCCAGCCTCTCAAATAGAGCAACAGCAAGTGCCTCCACATTTGTCTTGGTGCTAAGAGATGGAATGTAGGGCTTCACATGTGCCAAGGATGTATTCTACTATTGAGCTGCACCCTGAGCCATAAACTTTAATTTTAATAGTCACATGTAGCTTGAGGCCACCACATTGGACAGCCCAGACTTAAAATATTATTTGGACCTTCCATAAGTTTCCTGTCTTAATATTAATCACATTATTTTACTTTTTATTTTTTTTGGTACCAGGAATAGAACTCAGGACCTTGCCCTTGCCAGGCAGATCCTGTGCTGCTGAGCTATATCCCTGGCCCTTAATCATATTACTTCAGTGTAATATTGAGCTTCATTTTTGTCATGCACCTTGTTTATGAGGATATTTGTTATGCTTTTCACAGGGGGTATTACCCAAAAGGGGGTGGTGAAGTGATTATTCGAATGTCACCAGTTAAACAGTTGAACCCAATAAATTTAACTGATCGTGGCTCTGTGACTAAGATATATGGAAGAGCTTTTGTTGCTGGTGTTTTGCCAATTAAAGTAAGTTGTCTAAATGTTCCTAAAAGTGTGCGCTTATCTTGATAAGTAGTATGTCATCTAAAATTTGTAGCTAGCTTATCTTTTAATTGATCTTTTCATGATAATTTTTACAAATTTAATAATCTCTTGAAAATTAAATTTTTGGGGGGCTTGCGGGTTAGCTCAGTTGTTTAAACACCTGCTGGGGCAAACCCTGTCAGGCTCAGGGAACTGTGGTTCAATCCTTAGACCCGCCCTTAAGGCAGCCTGAGCCAGCCAAAAAAAAAAAGAAAATTAAATTTTAAACAATAAGTATAAAGTTAATTATTTCATATGTCTTTAGGTTTGAAAACATTTGTCCAGATAATAACTAGTATATTGTTCCGATTGTGTCTTGTCAAAATAGGTAGCGAAAGATATGGCAGCGGCAGCTGTACGATGCATCAGAAAGGAGATCAGGGACCTGTATGTGAACATTCAGCCCATTCAGGAACCCAAGGACCAAGCATTTGGCAATGGAAATGGAATAATGTGAGAAGATGCACATGTTTTAAACTTGGGATGAGAACCCTGAAATGATTTATTAGTCAGTTTTCTGTCTCTGTGACAAAATACTTTTAAGATAAACAGCTTAAAAAAGGAAACATGTATTTTAGCTTAGGGTTTCAGAGATTTGGCGGGGATCTTGACTTCTTCATTCTTGGGCTGATAGTACAGCAGAGAGCACAGCTGCTCACCTAGTGACAGGGAGGTGGAGGGAGAGGAAGTAGCTAGGGACCACACTTTTTTCCCCTGGACCCCACCTGCTTTCACACACGGACTTTGGGGGACATTTATAAGTCGAATCATAATTATTCTACCTAAAGTTTTGTTAAATTTATAACTTTATGAGGTTATATTTTTAAGGGTATTTCTACCTAAAATAACAATATGATAATTCTGATTTTCTTTTCTGAGAATTGTTTGCCTTTTATTGCTTTTTAAGGTTATATAGTCAGCCCTGTATATTTGTGAATTTGGTATCTTTGGATTCAAACAACTGCAGACCTGAAATACTAAAGAAATGAAGTTATTTCTGTACTACACATGACAAGCTTGTTTTTCCTTGTGGTTTTGTATGTAGTACAGTATAGCAAGTCTTCACATGTCTTACACATTGTGCTAGGCATAACTAATGCAAGGGTGATTTAAAGTATACAAAGAGATTGTTTGTGCGTTTTAAACACTGCCATTTTATATAAAGGACTCGAATTTGCTTGTATTTTAGTGTCCACATGGGGGCTTTGGAACCAGTTTCCCTAAGTAATAAGGGATAACCATAGTGAAATTAATTTATTTATTTGTTTTTAAGACAGGATCCTGCTAGGTAATAAGGGATAACCATAGTGAAAGTTATTTATTCATTATTTATTTATTGAGACACGATCTTGCTAGGTAGTCCAAACTCACCTTGAACTCATTATGTATTGCAGGCTGGCTTTGAACTTACAGTGATCCTCCTGCTTGAGCTTCCCAAGTGCTAGAATTACAGATGTGCGCTTATAATGAAGTTTTTAAGCTAATCACATATTGGGAGGCTGGGGAAATGGTTTAGTGGAATAAGCACTTCCCTGTCAAGGGCAAGGGCCTGAGTTCAATCCCCAGTTCTGCCAAAAAAAAAAAAAAAAAAAAAACAAATTGGACTTTGACAGTGATCCTCAAAGAAATATTTTCAGTTGCTTAAAATATCTTAAATGTAAAATTAAGGGTCGGCCAAATAGCTCAGCGGATGAAAGTGCCTGCAAGCAGGCGCAGGGGCCAGAGGTTTGGTCTCCAGGCCTGCGTGCCAGCCCTGCCCCCGGGGGTATGCTGAGATGGCAGTTGAGACTGGGTGTGGTGGTGCATGCCTGTAATCTTATTTCTTGGGAGGCTGTAAACAAGCAGATCACTGAGTCTGATCTAGTAGTGAGACCCTGAACACCCTGTAGACCCTTCCCTAAAAATTTTTTTTTAAAAAAGTAAGATTAATTCATAAATAGTATGATAAAGATCTTTTTAAAAAAAATATAACTTCCACAAATCCAGTCAGGATTAATTGGATTTAAGTATTATAAAAATTCCTTATATTTTTGGAAGTCTGAAAGTACAATGTTCTTTGTTGATATTCGAATTTCAAACCTTGTTTAAAGATTCTGTTAAAGGGTTTACACTAAAGTAAATGCTTGCCCTAATTTTAATACTACTACATAAAACTATAGATCAAAACCACAGTCCTGCATGAAGACCTTTTTGTATAAGATAATCATAAGAAATTTATAGTACTGCTTGTCTATGAAATGGTACCACTGAGTACTAATGCAGTAACTTAGTGTGGAAAGGGTGGCAGCCTCTTTACCTGTAAATGGATTAGCAGCTGATATAACTCTTCCTGATGTAACTAATGGCCTTGTTAAGGCTGATGGAGAATGTTAATCACATCACTCTGTGTTAGTGAGCTTTCCTGTCCTGTGACAGAGTAACCTAACATCCATAGAGGAAGAAAGGTGGAGTTTGACTCATGGTTTGGGGCTTGAGTCTGTGATCTCCTGATGCTGAGGCAGGAACCCCTTGAGGGAAGGGCGTGGCAGAGAAAGCCTGCTTACCTGGCAACAGTCGGGGCAGAGGGGAAGGGCCAACCCCTCCAGAGCAGAGCCCCAGTGCGCAGCTCTTCCCATAGACCCACTCGTGAGAGCACAGTCAGCCGTGAACTCACCCAAGGACCAAGTGCTGAAGAGTATGCACCTCAGGGTCCAGTCACCTTTCGCAGTCCTCGTCTGAGTGGGCATAGTAGGTGCAGTCCAGATGTAACCAGAGCACACTGCGTAGGAAGATTCCCTAGTGGAATATACTGGTCAGATACACTTTCACTGTTTAGTAGTCACTATTCTGTGTGGTAGTTGCATATTATTTTATGATATTTGTAAGCAAAGGTAATTAATTTTTCTTTTTTTTTATAATAGTATTATTGCGGAGACATCTACTGGCTGTTTGTTTGCTGGATCATCGCTTGGTAAACGAGGTATATATAAGCAAAAGGACAGCTGTGGCTTCAGTGCTGTGTAAAGTTCGTCAGGATTGTTGTGTTAGCGTGATGAATGACAGCTTAGGATATAGTTAATTCTGTTTTTGAATCAGTTAAACTTAAATTTTCTAACTTTATACTCTGAAAATTTTTACACCTAGCCAGATATGCTAGCACATGTCTAATTCTAGCACTTGGGAGGCTGAGGCAGGAGGATTGCTATGAGTTGGAGGCTGGCCTGGGCTTGAGATCCTGTTGACTTGGTTGAGACCCTGTCTCAAAAACAGAACATTTTTTTCCACACCTATAGAAAAGCTTATGCCTACTTCAACATATCTTCTGGATTCATCTGTCTTGGACATTTGGCTACATATTGTTTATATTTTTGAATCATTTCAGTGTAAGTTGCAGACACTGTTCCTCACTGCTGAGTACTGTAGCATATTTGTATGTACAAAAAGAATGATCCGTGTGTAATCATAATACTGTTTTATACCTGAAGAATTTGTTATATGTCATTACACCAGACGTATTTGGACTTAACAAGCTATCTCCAAAATAGTGTTTGGAGCCATGTGGGGATTTGGTGTGTGTGGGCTGAGTCAATTTGGTCTTTGATTTTTTTGAGATAGGCTGTAGTCTATACTGGCCTTGAATTCATGATTCCCCTGCCTCAGCCTCCCAAGTGCTGGAGTAAAAGTAACGCTCTGCCGTGGCTGGCATTTTTTCTAAAGCACACAAAGCATTTGATTGTCATGGCTATTTAATCTTTTAATGCAGAACATTCTCTTTGTTTTCTCCTTTCATGGTTTAACTGACATTTTGAAAACTCGCACAATTTCCCACAATTTGGATTTGCCTGACTACCTCATGATTAAATTATTCAGATTAAACATTTTAAGTGAGAATATTGTGTAAATGGTTTATGTGCATCTTCTGCACTGCACCATAGGACACACACAGTCAGTTTGCCCTTCATTGGAGAGGCTGACCATGTAGTCAAGCAAGATTTCATTCAGACATACATGCTAGAAAGGTTTCCTTTCCCTTTACAGTCAGTGGGTGTTGTGGGACAATGCCTTGAGACATTCTGGTTCTCCCATTCCCACGCAGCTCACATCCAGTGCCTTTAATGGTTACTGTGCTTCTTTCCTGTGTCAGTTGTTCCACTGATGATTAGAAAATACTGAATATTTTGGGGGAAGGAAACTTGTTAAATATTTGGTATTTTAAGGAAAAGAGATAATTCTATGTATGTGTTCATTAATATTTACAGTTCTACCAGTCAGGGAATTTCTAGTTGCTTATAGTACCTGATTACTTTATTTGTGCTTTATACTATCCTCTTTAAAAATGTTTATGATAGCTGTGCTGTTTAACTTCATTATTGACCACTGAATATAAAAGCATATCATCTTAGTTTTGTCAGTGTGTAGATCTAGATATTAGTTGGGAATCAAATATAATCAACATGATTGAATAAAGTTAACATCTCTAATTGACCTCACATAAATGAATTCTGTTTAAAACTACTCTTTTGTGTGACTGGTAGATAAACATTGTGTCTTGAGTTTTTTAGAAATACAAAATTTGAGACTTATGCTAGGCCTATTGTTCATTCTCAGTGACTTAGCTCACTGACAGAGCACTTGCCTACCATGTATAAGAGCCTAGGTTTGATCCCCAGCCCTCACAAAAAAGACTGTCCGGTTGAAATGTGTTTTGGCAAGTTTTCCAGGGACTTATAAAGCATATTGAGAAGTAGTGATCTAAAGTACATACTTAGCATGACTTAATTACAGACTAGGCACAGTCTGTAAGTCTTGAGAAACAAAGATGAGGCAATCTAAAGCAGAGACTATGAACAGACATGTTACAGGCAATAAAGCTTGCTATGCATTGGAAGGAATGAGGTGTTTGTCTTATCACTGGGCACCATGATGTGCCAGATAATGTGCTAGGAGTTCAGAAGTGAACCCACTGTTCCTGATTCGTAGCTTAGTCTGATATCATGTCCCAGTGATACCCTAGAAACACTGGAGGAATCCTTCTTGGGGGGCTGATGAGCCCCAAATCTCACTTCTGCCCTTCAGTGATCCTCCAGGAGGTGATAAATAGAAGTTAGCCAGATTTAAAAAATGAGAGCAAAATGAAATTTGTGCAGTCATTATTGAAAACAATGTAAAGTTTCCTAAATAAACTGGAAATGCAGTTGCAATATGCCTCAGCAATCCCTCTTCCTAATCCCAGAAGAAATAAAATCATCATAAAGATAATCACACTCATAGGTTCTCACCATTATTTATAATCTTCAAGATATAGAACAGCTAGATGTCCAGTGAAGAAATGGGTAAAGAAATAGCTAGATGTCCAGTGAAGAAATGGGTAAAGAAACTGATAACAGATGCATTAAAATATTAGCCTTAAAAGAGGAGATATTGTCATTTGGCACAACATGGACATAATTAATGGGCATGCCACTGAAGCAAGTCAGACACAAAATCCTATTCAGTGTAGAATATAAAAAAAGAAAAGGTCAAATACACAGAGAAAGATGAAAGATGGGTTGTCATAAAACATGGGTTATCAGGGGTAGACTGAGCAGGAAACAAACAGGGAGATGTAAGTCAAAGGATGCAGACTAGCAGATATATATGCAGAGGTCCAGTGTATAACGTGAGAACTCTAGCCAAAGAGTTAGCCGGTATTTCTGCTGAATGAGTGGATTGTAGTTGTCTTTGCCACAGGAGGAAAAATTGGGTAACCATGTGAGATGATGGCGGCGTTAATTGGTTGCACTAAAGTAACTATAACGTCTTCTTAGCATTGCATTTTTATCTTAAGAGACTTTTTTTTTTTTTCTTTTTAAGAGAACTAAGGAGAAGGGACAAAGAAAAATGCTGGCACAAGAACGTTCTGTGTTTAGGCAAGTGCACTGAAGCACAGGCCTTGGATGGGCTGGGAGAATGATGAGAATAGAGATCAACAAGGGCCAGACTTTGAAAGGCTGCTGTTGTCATGTGAAGAGAAGCTTGATGTTTTATGTTGTTGTTGATACAGGGTCTTGCTACGCAGCTCAGACTGCTAGTGATCTTTCTGCCTCAGCCTTCCCAGCTGGGATTACAGGCATGCACCACCACTCCCGATTTCAGGGTGGGTACTGAGCGCCTGGGGTTCCAGGCCAGCATATGGTACCGAAGATTAGACTTGTGAGTTTGCACTTAGCAAGCAGGTGCTTAGACTGTCAAGCTATCTCCTAGCTTGAAAGTTTTATGTTTTATCCTGAGATTAAGAACATTTTAAGGAGGGATAAGAGGTATTTTGGAAAATTAATTATACTTTATTATACTAGATAAAGAATTAAAAGAAACCCATGCTGTAGGTACAGAGACCAAAGGTGAGGTTTTGCATCAAGGAATGTGACTGCCACTAGAGAAGTTAGTACTGAGTGGCAGTAGTTTATTTATTTATTTATTTATTTATTTATTTCAAAGTTTTATTGATAAACATATAGCAATGAGACAGTTTCAAATCAACGAAAGTACAGTTTCAACAAATAATACACTGCATATATTCTTCTTAGTGGTTAATTGCTGTACAAGATGCAGACTTGTGATCCTACTTACAAACACCATTAGAAAAAATCATTCTATTCATTAAGAGAATGCAACTATATATCTATCCCAACCACTTTGAATACACAGATACAAAATGGGCATTCATAGTTATACCCCAATTTTTTTTTAAGTTCCGTTGTTGAATATTATAGGTGTGGGCAGTAGTTTATTTAGAAACGTGAATAGACAGTTTGTGACCTGTTGGATGTGGGAGATAGGGGAAAACTTTGAAGAATGACTTTGTAGGCGTCTAACTTAGTGGTGGATGTGTTTATAGCTTGTGAATATAGGAGGTACCTTGCTGGGCAAGATGGTAATTTTAACTGTATTGTGTTGACATTGTAAAGGAATCTCATTATTCTGTTGTTCTGGGTGATTTTTTTTTTTTTTTTTTTTTTTTTTTCCTGATACTGGGGATTGAACTCAGGACCTTGTGTTTAGACAGGCAGGCACTTCTGCCACTGAGTTATCTCCTTGGCCCTAATCTGTTATTCTATTACATGGAATTTATTGAGTAGCCCTGAAAAAAAGTTCTTATATTTTATCAATTTTTTTTTTTCTTACTTGGTGAGAAAACTGTTACAGTGCAGTTGTTTTTGGATAGTACTCTCTTTTTTTTGGAACCAGGGATTGAACTCAGGCCCTTGCGCTTGCCAAGGAAGCGCTTACTCTACTGAGCCATCTCCCCGAAAGCAGAAGGGTGTTTTTTTTTTTTTTGCTCCTGATGCCTTCAGGGCAGGTTTGGCTGGCTTGAGTTGTGGGGATCAAACCCCAGCAACCTGAGCCTGACTGCTTTGTTGAAGCAGCCACATAAAGAGCTGAGCTAAGGGGCAGGCCCCCGGATCGTACTCTTGAAGAGTGCACATTACTTATTCTTAGACTTATAGTGGTGGAAAAAGCAACAAATTTGTTGAGATTACTGATTTTTACTGGTTCCTTCTCATTTCCTGTCAGGTACAGCAGCCAAGTGTGATATCATCAGCAAACGCAAAGGCAACTTGGGGTCTTCTCTCTTAATCTTCTCTCTTAATTTGTCTTAAGGATCTCAGATATAATGTCATAACCTCCATTATTTGGGTCCTCTCTCATTTCTGATTTAAATAACTGGAAAAGTACTGGATACTGAATCATAATGTTTTAAGAGTTTTTACCTGAAGCAATGTTAGCTGGTTGTTACTGGTAGCATATATGTTGGAGGCAGAAAGTTGTAACCATGTTTTTATCATTGTCTTGGTTATAAAAATGATTTTGAATAGCAAGTTTCTGTGGAGTATCCCTAAAATCCTTCTAGCTGTTATTTTTTATTTTTTGTTTTTGCTATGTTGCTCTGGCTGGCCTTGAACTCATTATGAAGCCCAAGCTGGTCTGGAATTCATGGCAATCCTCCTGTTCTAGCTTTTGAGTGTTGGAATGACAGGAATGTGCTACACACAGCTGCTCTCCACCTATAATATTCCTCAGATCCATAAAAATGTTTATATTTTGTTTAGGTCTTGATGTTTTAAATCGAGGAGATATATATATATATCTAGCAAGTGCAGGGTCCTGAGTTGGATTTCCGGAACAACAACAAAAAATAGAAAACGAAAAGCAGAAGGCTTAAATTTTAATCTTCTGTCTAAATTATCCTATATACTCTGGGATTTTCTTAACTGGAAAATGAGATTGGATTATGACTAGGAACCCTTCACCCATGAAATTGTTTAAAGTACTGTATAAAATTTTATTTAGGTTATGTGCATAAGATGTATACAAAACAAGTTAACTTCATGTAATTGCATTATGAACACAGTGTAGAACTAGGGATGTAGCTTGATTGGTTGGAGGGTAGAATGGTTACTGAGTATACAAGAGGCCCTGGGTTCAATGTCTAGCACTTTGAAAAGAAAAAAAAAGAAAGGAAAACATATTTTGTCTTTATGTTACTGAATATTTGTGCTTTGTTTGATCTTTTTTTTACCCCCTTGAAGTGCTGTTGATTGAATCCATGGTCTCCTGTCTCATGTATACAAGCATTTTATCATTGAACTGCAGCCCTGCTCTTGTTTGCTTGTTCTTGTCTATATTCTTTATTATGAGAGCAGAACAATCTGCTTAGATGAGTTATGCCTCTAATCAGTCCTGTTCCTTGGTTCATAGGAAGCTCTTTTCCTTATTTGGATAAGGAAATATGTGATAATTCATATATATATATATATATTTCTGATATCCTTAGGTAAGTTTCTTTGTGTTTTCTGTGCAATCAGATAATCATTTCATAGTCCTTTTAATAAGCTGCTGGATACCCAAATCAGTGAACATTCATTTTCATGCTGTGCATTATGAAACACTAACATTATGGGAGGCTGAAGCAGAAGCCTCACTTGGGCAACTTAGCAAGATCCTATCTCAAAAGACAAAAAGGGGATGGTGATAGGGCTCAATGAGAAGGCCCTGAGTTCAATCCACAGTACAGCAAAATACAATGAAGCAAAAGAAAACAGACCCACAACCAAAATTAGAAACTGCTTTTTAAAGAAGCACTGAAACCATTAGATTATTTGTCAAAGCGAAAACATTGAGATGTCGAATTTTTTTCCTTTAGGAGAGAGGAGAGAAGAAAGCATTACACTCATAAGCAGAATTCTCGTATTTTCTTCATCTGTTCAGTTTCCACAGGCTACTAGTGGTAATATTGACTAGTAATAATGGAGATCCATTTATTCCGTATTTACTGTTAAGTGGAATAGGAAGGAATATGAATGGCTCTGAGACGTACTTTGCCTCTTGACAGAAAACTTCAGTATTCATTAGCCTTTCCAATCCAGGCTTGAATATCTTGTGTCTGAAATGCTTGGACACAGGACTTTTAAATTTACTTAAATTTTGGAGTGTTCATATTTGTGAGGTTCTTGGGGATGAGCATAAGTCCAAACATGAAGTTAACTTCTTTTGTATATGTCTCATGCACATGACCTAAATATAATTTTATACAGTACTTTAAATAATTTCATGGGTGAAACTGTTTCATGGTTTAAAGTTTCCACTTTCGGTTTTAAATCAATCTTTAAAAAGTTTGAAATGTTCTGTCACTTGGGTTTTGGATTTTCAGGTTAAGGATCTTTAACATGTATTATAAAGCCAGGACTCTTCGTTCACATCCTTTATCCCGGTGTTAGCCATCTTTTAAGGACCTGCTTAACTTCTTCATACTTTATGAAACCTTCTGAAATTAGAACCTAATTGTCTTTTCCTTCTCTAAACTCCTGTTGTATGTATGATTTTTACCATGGAGCTTAGCACTTAACTGTCCTGTAATTCTCTAATATATGACTAGTGTGTTTCCCAAGAATAAGACCTAACTGGACCAGCCTAACCAGAACCAGCCCTACCTGGTCATTAATGTTATAATGGCCAGTGTCCTGCAGAAGATTATACATACCTCACTATTCTGTCTTAATTGCTAGTCTGTAATGGCAGGTAAGGCAAGGATACACCAATTGGGGTTACCTTTTTTTTTCCCCCAGTTAGAGCTTATTTTCAGGGAAACACAGGTATCTTTTATGTTTCCTTAAAGGAGCGAGTACTACTGAGTATTCAATATTATTGTTATTAATAGCTTGTATATTGATCTTGGAAACAGATTCTTTATAAGTGTTACCTATTTCTATAACAACTATTATCATCTCCATTTGAAAGAGGAAATGATACTAAGTAGCTTATTTAAGAATGTTAGGAGCTGAGAGTGCAGCTCACATAGCTATCGTAGAACACATGCAGCTCAGTAACAAGAACATACATGTGCATAGTGTATGCAAGTCCTAGATTCTATCTCTAGTACTAGAAAGATTGATTGATTCATATAATGTATTTTAAACCATTTCATTTAGTTATATAAATAGTTGATCAATTGGTAATGAAAGAACTTTATTGTTGTAGTATCTCCTTTAAAAAAGTAGTAAAGTAAGGGGCTGGGGAGATGGCTCAGTGGAATAAGCCCTTCCCTAGCAAGCGCAAGGGTCTGAGTTCAATCCCTGGTTCCGCAAAAAAAACCAAACCAACAACAATAACAGAAAAAACATAGTAAAGTAAATTTGCAAATATAAAATGCTGTGGAAATCAGTAGCCACATTTGTAGTGAAGAATGACCTTAAGAGGGTTAATTGGAGAATTAAATACTTTTGATAGGCTGATTTTGTACTCTGCATTGTACCAGAGGTTTGGTGTATATGTGAAGAGGTAGGAAGCAGAGGCAGGGGAAATACTCTTTTTTTTTTTTTTTTTTTGGGGGGAACTAGGGATTGAACTCAGGCCCTTGTGCTTTCCAGGGAAGCGCTTATTCCACTAAGCCATCTCCCCGGCCCTGGAAAATATTCTGATGTACATTCATAACAGTCTTACATCCATTCCAGTCTTTTTAAAAGATCTTTTATGTATTTATTTGGTACAGGGTCTCACTACGCAGCTCGGACTTGTAGTGATCCTCCTGTCTTAGCCTCTCCAGCACTGGGATTACAGGTGTGCGTCACCATACCCTGTCTTGGTGACTGGCACAGTGTCTGGGGCCTGCATGACTGGCACAGCATGCCTTACTAGGGATCAAACCCGGGTCCTTGGCTTGTCAGGCAAATGCTTAGCCCACCAAGCTATCTCACCATCCCTCCATTAAGGTCTTAAAGGGGCTAGAACCTTAACATAGTTGAGCTGAGTATTACTTGCTTTTCTTTAGGTGAAAAATCCCTGACTTAAAAATCCTTTAATTCTGATGTCTCACAGATTATAACTTGTATAATCTTAAGTTTTAAAGTTTGAAATTGAGTCATACCATTAGAGGGTCATAACTTAATTATAAACTGGCTTTTTAACTAATACTCTTTAAACAGCCCAAAGCAGCCTATTTCTTTTTTCCCTACCATTGTATTTAAAGATAGAAAGTGATTTCATAGGCTAAGTCCTCAGGAGATTAAAAAGATCTTGTCCTAAGAGATATATCTTATGAGTTGAGAGAAATAAAAAATACTGTAACAATGCTAAGTGGATTTCTCAGTTAAACCTTTGCCTTTTGGTAATTAACTTAGGTTTTTTTGTTTTGTTTCTTACATTATTCCTGTCTTAGGTGTTAATGCAGACAAGGTTGGAATTGAAGCTGCTGAAATGCTGTTAGCAAATCTTAGACATGGTGGTACTGTGGACGAGTATCTGCAAGACCAGGTAATGACACTTGCAGGATAAAATCCTTCCCACCTGTCAAGACTTGAACATTCAGTAATTAGATTGAGTGTAAATTTAATTACAGTGAGTCTCCAACTTATGAATGAGTTCCATTCCAAAATTGTAAGTTGAATTCATTTGTAAGCCAGCAAAAGGAGTCTTACACAGTACACCTGTGAAAGTTTGCAACTCAAATGTAAGTCAGGGACGTTATTGTCTTTCAGACACTGATCAGCAAATCCTACTTTAATCATTTTTAAAGTACCTACCCTTGGAACTTGTTTTCCTCACATTTCTGTGTCTTATTTGACCTGTTCATTGCATTAGGCACGCTTTATTCTTGAAATTCTGGCTTCATTTGGTCTGAGGTAATGTTACCTTTCTACTTAGTTGGCCTCTTTTTCCTGGTCTCCTTTGCTAGATTATTGTTTCCTTTTCAGCTTTTAAATTTTGGAGGACTGAGGAGACAACTCAGTAGTCTAAGCGCAGTGCCCAGGTTTGATCCCATGTACCATGTGCCATGTTGGTTCCGGGTGAGACTTGCCGGCCACTGAAACTGGGGAAGGTGGCACACGCCTGTGATCCTAGTGCTGGGGAGGCTGAGACAGGAGGCTCACTATAAGTCTAAGCCATGTAGCGAGACCCTGTACCAAATAAATACATAAATAGATAAATAAATCAATGATTTAAAAATAAAAATACAAATTTGGAGAGCTCAGTAGTTCAGTCTCATGCCTCTTTCCTTTATCTATATTCACTCTTTTTTTTTTTGTCTAAAATAACCATCTATATAATGACGACTCCTAAATGTGTATTCCTGCCCTAGCCTTCTTAATTCCTCGCCCCCCCCCCCTTTTTTTTTTCTTCAGAACCGGGGATTGAACTCAGGCCCTTGCGCTTGCCAGGGAAGTGCTTATTCCGCTGAGCCATCTCCCCGGCCCCTTTAATTCCTTATTCACTATATCCCATGCTTGTCAGTATCTCCACTTGTATATTTCGTCCACTTACCAAACGTAAAAGACTTTCACTCACATTAAGAAGTACTATTGAGTATTTCTAAATAAGATCTTTGGTTCACTGTCTATATATTTTCTTTGCTATGATAACTTTGATCTCTTTACTTTCAAATCAGCAGTCTACATTTAGAAATATATTCTTTGGTCAGGAGTGCAGCTCAGTGATAGAACTCATTCTTGGGCTGGCCAAATAGCTCAGCAGATTAAAGCACCTGCAAGCAGGCATAGGGTGGGGTGGGGGGTGTTCTAGCCTCAGGTCCTGCTGTGCCAGCCCTGCCCCCAGGGCTCCCTGAGACTGCGATTGAGACTGGGCATGGTGGCACACATCTGTAATCCCAGCACTTGGGAGTCTGATCTAGTAGTGAGACCCTGAACACCCTTTTTGTATTTTACCCTAAAATACAAAAATAAAAAGCTCGTTCTTGTCTGAGATGCATGAGGCCTAGGTTTGTTTTCAGTACCATAGGGGGTGATGAAATAAATTTATTCCTCAGGATTTCCTAATCATTTCCTTAGAACATTTTTCTTATATTTAGTTACTTCTTGCTCAGATTTATTCTGTATTATAGTAATTCTGTATTAGTCTGTTCTCATTAAAACATAATTTTAAAGAAGAGGAGAAACTTGTTATATTTTAGGATTTTTTTTTTTTTTGGAGGGGGAAGGGGAGCTGACTCAGGCTGCCTTAAGGGTGGGTCTGATAAGGCATGTGGAGCTGGGGATCGAACCACTGTAGTATCCTGCACCTGACTGTTTGCATAAGCAGGCACTTAAAAAACTTGTTATATTTTACACTCTAGCTGCAGAAATGGTTGATCTCATAAAGTATACATCAACTTTCAACTCCATGTTTTATTCTTTTTTTAATCATTTATTTATTTATTTGGTGCAGGGTCCTACTGTGCAGCTCAGACTCATAGTGATCCTCATGTCTCAGCCTCCCCATGCTGGGATAATAGGCATGCACCATTACCCCCGGCTTCAGTGGCTGGCACAGCATGGCATGTGGTACCTAGGATTGAACCCAGGTCCTTGTGCTTGCCAGGCAGGTGCTTAGACCACTGAGTTATCTCTCCAGCCAGAAATTCTTTTATTAACTGCTTTGGTTCCTAGTATTTTCATTATGGACAACAGTAAAATTATAATCTAAAGATTAGTAAATGTGTGAGAATTTTCTTCTTTGTTCTTTTTTCAATAGCTGATTGTTTTCATGGCTTTAGCCAATGGAGTTTCTAGAATAAAAACAGGACCAGTTACACTACATACGCAAACAGCTATACATTTTGCTGAACAACTAGCAAAGGTGAGTATTACATTGGAAAGAATAATTTGGTCATATTTTAATAAGCAGGAAATTCAGTAATGATTATAACTGCTGTCATCTTAGTACTTGCATGTGGTAGACACTTGGCTAACTCAGCAATTATCTGAAGCATCTTATTAAGCATAAGAATTGTGGCTGTTTGTTGTTATTCCCATTTTACAAATGAATAACTTAGGGCAGCAAAGTTGTTTGAGCCTATATCGTTTCTTAATGGCTGAGCTGGGCTTTGAGCAAACCCAGGAAAACACTTCAAGGTCCATGTTCCCTGTGGGTTCTGTGTGATAGAGTAATCCCCAGCCCTACATATAATCTCATTTGTACCTTTTTGATGAGATTCTTAATTTTAACAAAAGGGTAATTAGTGTCATTACAAAATTAATATTAATTTCCTCATGGAAAATACAGAGTAAGAGCCAGTGAGATAGCTTAGTGAACTAAGTGCCTGCTTAGGCAAGTGCAGGGACTGGAGTTTTGATCTGCAGCACCACATGCCATGCCAGCCCTACCCACAGAGAGACCAGGCATAGTGGTCCCAGCACTGGGGAGGCTGAAAGCAGGAGGATCACTAGAAGTCCAAGCTGTGTAGTGAGACCCTGTACCAAATACATTAAAAAAAGAAAAAGAAAAGAAAAGGAAGTACACAATAATTTTCCCTTGTCAGTAAATCCACTATGGAAATTTAAGTATTTTCTGCTTGAATTATCTCTCTCCATTTTTTACAATTAATATGTACAGCTTAATTTCTTTCCTTTTTTCTGTTATTTGTAGCATGTTTTTCTTTTGGTATATCCTATATAATTATAAAGTCATAAAATTTATGACTCAGTTTTAGGTAGGAAGGTGCTGAAGCATTTTTAAAAGTTAAGTAATGTACACTAGTAAAAAAAAAAAAAAGTTAAGCAGTGCTGGTGTGTGCTAAGCACAAAATTACTGCTCTACTCTTCTTCTGGTGTGATTCTTAGTAATATTTAGATTATTTGTTGCCGTAAAGATTAGATAGCTTTCAGTTAAACTGTAGGAAAAGGATGATGACAGTGGAAGGCAAATTGTGTCTGGTGATGAGGAAGTTCATGATTTTTAGGTTCTCCTTGCCCCTGTAGTTGTAACACCTGCTCTCCTGTCTCTTGTGGACTGATCTTAGTAGCAAAGAGCACATTTCAGTCACTTTACAGACCTGCATGTACTGTAGTAGATCCCTTCACATGTCTTGCACAGCTCACTTCATGCTGTTTGAAGTGAATATGTAATGAAAGTGCTGTGAACTGGGGATTTGTGTTTTCACTTGTTTTGTTCAGCTTTGTTGTGTTTTACCAGGTGAGTTGAGGCAAGTTTTTTTTTTCTTAAGAGAATAAAAAAATTAGAAATACAGAATTTGACTAAACAAGATAAGAATTCAACAATGGTTGTTATATTGCATATTGTGGTCTTCAAATTAGTTGTTTATGTTACCAAATAGAAGCATGCAGGGGCCGGGGAGATGGCTCAGTAGAATAAGCACTTGCCTGGCAAGCACAAGGGCCTGAGTTTAATCCCCGGTTCCGCAAAAAAAAAAAAAAAGCATGCAAAATCAGTCAGAAAAACAAAAGAAAAAATGTAATATTAACTGTTCCTTTCAATAGGCAAGTTTATCTTTCTGTGATGTCTCAATGCATATAGTTCATCTGTAAACTCAGACATTTGAGCAAGTCAGTTTCTTAAGACCCCTTACATAGATTTAAATGTGGGCTAGAAATGATCTGCAAAATTTTGTGTTTCATAAGGTTTATAATTTGACAAAAAAGCATGAGTATGCATGTTATAACTACATAAAACTTGGCTTTCTAGCTCAGTATTCAGTATATGTTTATTCCACCATAATCTTAACATGTCCACTGTGTGTCAGTATACTGTCACATAATACTAAAATTAAATAAAAGAATTTGTGATCATTGCTGTTCAGTATGGCCCCAGAATGATTGGTTCTAAATTCAAAGAATCTGAAGATTTTAATTGTACTTGAAATCCCTTAGACACAAACAGCCTACATAATTGTTTTGATTTTAATTCAACTTTATTAAATTTTCAGTTTAATTTTATTAAATATTTCAAATCGGGGCATAGTGGTGCATACTTGTAATCTTGGCATTCAGGAGTCTGAGGCAGGAGGATTGCGGCATATTCAAGGCCAGCCTGAACTACATGCAAGACCCTGTCTCAAAGAAAAAAAACAAGAGCCATATATGTATGATTTTAAAATGTAAAATGAACATGTTTCTTAAATATGATAATATCAAATATTTCAAAGCCACCCCACCTCAACAAGTAGAAAATACAGTGTTATATATCCAGTGAGTATGCAAGAAAGGGCTTGAGATGTGGCTCAGTGGTAGAGTGGTTGGGGGAAGGCTCTGGATTTGATTAACACATACAATAAAGATGGCCAGGTATGGTGGTGCATGCCTGTAACCCCAGTATTTGGAAGGCTGAGGCAGGAAGATTGCTGTGAGTTCAAGACCAGCCTGAGCTACATAATGAGTTTAAGGAGACCCTGTCTGAAAAAAAAAGGTGAATAAAAATGTTAGTCACACCAGCATCCTCCCTCCCATTTCTGTACTAAACCTGTTTGAATAATGTATTTAGGGAATTAAATTGGTTAAAAAAAAAAAAAATAGTGACATGTAATGATAATTGTGTATGTGGCAAGATAAATATTGCAGTTCCACATTTGACAGAAATTTTAGGGAACGGGGGAGGTATCAGATTTCAAAACTGAGCTTGCCTTGACTGCCTTCCTGGGGCTTCTGATTCAGGGGAGGTTTGGAGCAGGATCTAGGCATGTTCACTCTGACAGAAGGCCACAGAAATGAATACCGTTGGGCAGGGACAACAGTTCTGCAGGTGATGTTGGATTTTCCATGAATCATTTGATTTTTGTGTCTCTAGCTTTTTCAACAAATGTGTTTGGTATGATCTCTCTGCTTGCATAAGTAGGAGTTAAAGGCTCTTCCCACTTCTTCTGATTACTTATATACTAAGTATTCTTTTGCTTCCAGGCCAAGTTCACTGTGAAGAAATCAGAAGATGAAGAAGATGCCTCTAAAGACACTTACGTTATTGAGTGCCATGGAATTGGGATGACAAATCCAAATCTATAAAGTATTGACCACTTCTTTGCACTAATTTATTTCATGCATAGTATAATGCAATGAGTAAGAAGTAGCTTTTTTTTTTTTTTTTTGCAGAACCAGGGATTGAACTCAAGCCCTTGAGCTTGCCAGGGAAGCACTTATTCTACTGAGCCATCTCCCTGGCCCCAAGAAGTAGCTTATTAAAGGAGCTGACTAAATTTGGAATTATAATATGTTGTTCTAGATCTGTAAGGATGCTGCATCAAATTAATCGTGCTTTAAATATCTCCTTAGACACAGTAAGAGTTGGTGGATATGTATGGTAGCTGATTTCAGTATTAAAGTATTGAATAAAATACTCTTTTTACTTGAAGTTAATGGTGGTTTTCTTTTTTATGTAATGAGTTGTGTCACAGATACAGATTTGATCTATAATTTGTGTATAGCAGTGCCCTTACCCACAATTTTGCTTTCTGAGGTCTGAAAATATTAAATGGAAAATTCTAGAGGTTAAGTAATTCATAAGGTTTAAATGGCACTCCATTCTGAGCAGCTTGGTGACATCTCACCCCTTCCATTTTGTCTCATTTGGGATGAGAATCATGTTTTTCCAAATATACCACCTGCCTGTTGATGGCTTAGTAGATGTCTTGGTTATCCAATCAGCTGCTTAGTACAACAATGGATGTGATCAAACAACTTAAATTTTACTTAAAAGTGGCCCCAGTGTGCATGAGTAGTGGTGCTGGCAACTCAGAGTTGTCAAAGAAGCTGTAAAGAGCTTCCTCTAAGTGTCATCTCACGTCTGTACAAGAAGGGCAAGTACACTCTCAGGGGCTTAGGCCACGTTTCTGTAGTGTTTTAGAGTACACAGTTGCACACTGCTTACCAGCAGGAATATGCTTCAGAAAATGTGTCACTGGGCTCTTTCATTGTACAGATGTTGTGACACATCCTTCAAAAATGACAGTGTGGGGCTAAGCGTTTGCCAGCCTCTTAACATAATGAGATACTGTAATCGCAGGTTCTGTGAGGCTCCATGAGTATACAGTTTCACAGTAAATTTTGTTTTTTATAAATAGAATAATGAAAAATTACAGTGTAAAATACAGACCAGTACACAGTTATTTTTTATTCTTAGCATCAAGTTTCAGAGCCTTTTGCTTTGTTTTGTTTGCAGATCTAGGGATTGAACCCAGGGTCTTGAACATGCTGGGCAAGTGCTTTACCACTCAGCCACTTCCCCAACTCCCTGTCAAGTCTGATGTGCTGCTGTTAACTTTGTGCTCTATGTTTCTATGTGACTGGCCCAGCACAGTGTTTGTATGTGCTGGTGTCACCCCAGGGATGGGCACACCTAATGCTTTGGCGTTAATGGTGGATCCAGTGTCGCTTACTAGGCAATAGGAATTTTTCAGATCTATTACAATCTCGTGGGACCTATTGTATACATAGTTGATAAAAACATCTGGTACGTGATTGTATTGTTACACAAAAAGTACTTGGTTGTGTCTGTAATAACACCTAATAGGTGATGCTTCATTCCAGTTATACATACTTTGTACCTAGTAGGCACTTGGTAAATACTGAATCTCAGTCTTTGTACGTATTTTGAAAGCCAACAATTAAGAATTGCAAAATTTTAATCCTAGTAAGTTTGGTCAGATTCAGCCCCAGATATATTTGGCTCATAGCATTACAAAGCAGTTGACTTTAGAACGATGTGGTTTCATTATTCAGTTATTTACATCTAGCCTGCTTCCACATTTATACTTTCTGGTCACCTGTAGGTGATTCAGATGAAACCAATTTGGTGTATAACACTATGCTGTACTGTAACGGGGGAGGAATTTGTTAAAACTCTGGTCTGAAAAAAAAATAGAAGTAAATAAAATTTAGATCTGTCTTTGCCCTTATCTAATGATATTAAAAAATCTGGGACAGCAAGATAGCTCAGCAGACTTAAGTGCCTGCTTGGCAATTGCAGAGACCCCAGTTCGATCCCCAGCACACATGCCTTGCTGTCTCTGCCCCTGGGTTCCTGAGCCAGCCACAGAGACTGGGTGTTGTGGTGCACGCCTGTAATCCCAGCACAGGGGAGGCTGAAAACAGGAGAATCACTAGAAGTCCGAGCTGCATAGTGAGACCCTGTACCAAATGCATAAAAATAAATAAAAATCTAAGGCTAGATCGATCCAGTGGTGGTGGTTGTGGGGTATTATAACACATTCCGAAAATCCTGAATTTGTCTGTATAAAGTAGTATAGTAAAAATGAATCCATATACACAGACACTATTCAATGATTTATATGACCTTGTGAAGTTAGCTTTAAATATGATGGAGTATTGCTTGTTATTTAGGTTTTTGCAAAGTAGTAAGTTTTATAAACTACTTTTTAAGCATGGTATCTTTGTAGCACAAAAATCTTTTAGAGTAAAACCACTTTTTTTTTTTTTTTTCCCCCAGAACTGGAGATTGAACTCAGGACCTTGTGCTTGCCTAACAAGCACTTATCCTACTGAACTATCTCCCCAGCCCAAAACTACACTTTTAATGTTATTGGAGGGATTTTGACAAATCCCTTTAGCTGTGATCCTGGCCATTTCTGATGGCTTGTGCTGGCAGTGTTACAGTGGTTAGCTGCAGTGCAGAGACTGGGGAGTTTAGGGTTAGAGGCTGAAGTTTGACTGTGTGGTGAGTTCACAACCAGTTCTGGCTGTCACTGCTCTTGGTCTCAGTTTAGGCAAAACAAAGATAACGGCAAAGACAACTTTATAATTCCTACAAGTAAGTTGAATTTCTGTTTTTAAAAGCAATTCAGTCTATATGAATATAAAATTCTATTTCAGTAGATTTGTTTATTCTAGACCAAGAAATGCAAGCAGTATTATTGATTTGGCACTCTGTGTACAACAGAGTAAGAATACTTTTGAAACCAGGGCCTTACACAGTGTCATAAGGAGTTTCACAATGCCTTTCTATACATTTCAGTTTCCAGACATTAGTTTAATGCAGAGAACTGATTTTTAAATTTCTCCCCTTAAATGTGTACTTCCTGCTCACACTGAGTTCTTCAGTCAGGGTAGGGCTTCCTAGGGCTCAGGTTCAGCTGCTCTTTTACAGTTGTTCTTCCTCTACAAAAGGAGAGTTTAGTTTTTACCTGTTCTCACCTTGTTATGGTACATTTCCCCAGCGCACAGGGAAATTTGTAGGGCACTATTACATAAAGGAACAGTAACACATTGGTCTCTGAAAGCCATTTTAACAATTGGAATTTCCATCTTAAGTTTTGCATGATTTTAAATAAGAGAATACTCAGTGTTAGCTTTCAATAGCATCAACATTGTATCTTTAAATAAAACTTTTTCCTACTAGGAGGAACATTTTCATTAACTTTGCCAAAAAAGTAGAATGTTTAAATTTTTTTTTTTTTTTTTTTTTTTTTTTTTTTTTTTTTTACTTGATCTTAACCAAAAGGCCAAGAAGCTTTCCTTTTTTTTTTTTTTTAAAAAAAAAGCAACTTTGGAAATTTACTACTTAGTATGGATTTTTACTTCTTTGCTTTCTATTTATCCCCACCATGTGGTGTAAGTTATAGATTCTACGATCTGTATTATGAATATCATGTAAGTACTGCACACAAATTTTTTTTTTTTTTTAGTTTCTTTTTTCTGTCGATTTCCTTTGGACTTCGTTCCATTCCAGCAGTTAGGGTTAGGGTTAGGGTATTCATCCACAATATATCATGTAATTTTTAGAAAGATACCTCATTAAGATATATTTCCAATAAGATTTTACATTTTTTTCAATTCATTGAGTATTTACTGAGCACCTACTACGTGTTGGCTATTCTTCCAAATAGTTAAGATACCCTGGTAAACAAAACAGATCCCTTCCTTAATGTGCTCTCATTCATATGAGGGAGATGAAATAAGCAGCATAATAAGTGAGAAGCTTGAGGTGATTTGCATGCAAAAAATTTCATGTTTCAAAAATGCAAATTTTTATGCTTAATAACAATCAGGTCAGAATTGTTTTAAGTTCTGAGGCTGTTGTTCACTGAAAATTTTAAAATATTACAAATATGTGCATTTTTATGGTAAATATGACATTCAGTTGTTAAGATTAAAAATACAGTAAGAGATGTGAAATGTATTTTCATTTCAGAAAATATCACAGTTATAGTATTTAGATTGCAGTGGATAAATTTGAGAGTAGTAGAATTATTTCATTTTAAAACGGAAATAAAGCATTAAAATCAGGCCCAGGGAGCTAGCTTAGTGGAATAAGTACTTGCCTGGCAAGCTCAGGGTTCTGAGTTTGATGCCTGGTACCACCAAAAAAAATTAAAGTCTTGCCGCCTGTGGTAGTTAGTACACACCTGTCATCCCAGCACTCCAGAGGAGCACTGGGAATTTGAGGCCAGTTTGGACTACATAGGGAGTTCAAAGCCAGCCTGAACTGCATGGCAATACCTTAAAAAAAAAAAAAAAAAAAATCAAATTTCTTACTATAACTTGACATTTATGGTAAATTTTATGTCAACTTAAAGTATAAAGATAGTAGTGTTTTAACATTTTTTTTTCAGGAGAATTTTTGTGACCAAAATGTTTGAAGTCAGCTGCATTGAATTTTGGTATGAAAACAATTATTCACTGCTCTGCTTTTTTGTATTTAGTATAGTGCTGTCCACTGGATCCTTTACAAGGCTGGGAACGTGCTACTTGCCTGTGCAGTAAGAAGCACACTAGCCGCAGAGTTGTGAAGATTGAGAAGGGCCGGCAGCTGAGGAAATGAGTCCTGTGTTACTTCTGCTAACTTAAGTAGCTACATGTGGCTGCTGGCTACCATTGGACAGCGCTGGTGTAGAAGTTACTGTAGGTTTTTACATTGACGTATCTTGTATCATTGTCTCATACTGAGTTCTGAGGAGTACTGTAGGAAAATCCTAGAAGCTGATTGAGGCAGAGCATTTCCATGATGGTCTCATGCTGCACAGCAGGAAGTGGGGTAGAGGCGAGTGCTTCCAGTATCTCTTCCTGCGCACTTACTGAATTGTTAAAGGAAGAAGGACTGTTGATCTGATTGGGAATCTGATTTCTGTCCTGGGCCAGCTGTTCCCCACAACAGCTGCTGTGCTCACAGCTGCTGCACTGCCTACATGAAGAAGTTACGGGCCAAGGCTTGTCACTGTCCTCTGTCCATTCTCCCTTGTGAGAGGACACTACTGAACAACTCACTCGCCAGATATCACTGTGGCCCTTCAGGCACAGTCTGCCATGAGAATCCTCCCTCCTGGCCTGTGTTAGCCTTGAACTTAAGGGGCCAGGGAGGCTGGTTTAGCTCTGACCTCAGGTCTCAGCTTTCTCCCC